TCTAAGTGTCAGTTTACCTCAGACGACTACCACACTACACTCTTGCTTCCAGCTTACTGCATTCCTGCAACACGTCACTCCTATATATACTGCAAATCTAGTCATCATCCATGTTTGGGTTAATCGAAGGTCTATTCAAACTTGAAAGTAGTGACAAAACAAACACCACCATTTCCAATTACGCTAGTATCTCATTTTTTGTAGCTGTGAGTAGACCTCTGAATGTCTGATTAGCTTTACTTCTGAGAAATTCCTATCACTAGCAATAAGCAGCTGTTCTGAATACTAACCTGACATTTCCGCATTGTATTTTGTCCGCAGATGTCGAGCCAGAAGGACTACTCGATGGCCACGGCGGACATCGTAGACGCCGAGGTCAGGGAACTCGTGGAGACGGCCTACTCGCGGGCGACGCAGATCATCAACACCCACATCGACATCCTCCACAGGCTCGCCAACCTCCTGATCGAGAAGGAGACCGTGGACGGGGAGGAGTTCATGAGCCTCTTCATCGACGGGCAGGCAGAGCTGTTCGTCGCATAAGTCGACTTGTCGTGCGTGCCCTGTATGTTTTTTGGTGATTATACGAGGGTCCAACTTCTAGGAACCACATTGATCTAGTAAAAAATGTTCTTTTCGCAAACATGTTTGTATAGTTCCTTGTAAAAAATGCCTGTACTGACACTGAGCGCGTCAATTAATACAGATCGTTGCTAGTTTTTGCCTGCCTGCATGTTCTGATTAAATTCAGAACATTTCTAGTTTTGTGCTTGCTTGCTTGCATCTCCAGCCTGTGTCCAGGCTTAAGTTTTCTTTTTTGAATTTCAGTTGCTTAACATTTTTTTTGTTTTGATAAAGAGACGGATGTTAAGACCAGATTCAAATATGTTTTAACTTTTAAGTACTCACTCCGTTCCAAATTACTCGTCGTGGTTTTAGTTCAGAACTAAAACCACGACGAGTAATTTGGAACGGAGGGAGTAGTTCACACAATATGAGATTGAGAGCAAAAGAACCAGGCCGAAACAACAGCACATGGGAAGCCCAGGAGAACTTTTCCTTTATTGGAGGATTGCATCTTCCCCAGCGATCATCTCAACTTTTGCTTTATCGGAGGCTCCATCATTATGCCCATTACTCAGTTGCTTAACTTGGATTCAAATATGGCAGTGCCTTGCAAGCGGCTTCATCCCAGTTTACGTAGCGCCTAACTGTCTGCTCCTGTGGGTTTTTTTCTTCTTCGGTTTTTTGGAAGAATCTAGCTTTGTTTATCTTTTTCGTGTTCCGTCCGTCGGTTTTCTCTATTTCTTCTTTTTAATTTTCAGTTCGCTCTAGCCTACCCTAATGTGTTTGGGACTAAACGATTTGTTGTTGTTGTTTGTTATTTTTTAAAAATTTCTAGTTCGTATTTATGATTTTCCCTCTTATAATTTATTTTTTAATTCATGACATTTTTTCATTTGTGAATATTTTTGAAAAGTTGAGATTATTTCCTAAATTCATTACTTTCAAATTCATGAACACTTTCCAAATTCCCCTATATTTTCATATTTATGAACATTTTTCCAAAATTCAAAAACATCTTATAAATTCTTGATTGTTCTTTCGAACTCATAAGCATTTTTTAAATTCATAAATGTTTTCATAAATATTTAATAATTTTTTAACTTCACATACATTTTTTATTTGTCAAAACTTCTTATAAATTCTATCTGTTCTTTTAGTTTCCCTGCTCTCTGTTTTTTGTTCCTTCTCTCTGCGCACGTCCTCCTGCGCCGAGCTCCCAGTTAGCCGACGTTTCTGCTCCTTGTTAGTCAGCGTTACCTATTTGACGCTCGTTGCCTCAAATAGGCACACGAGCACCAGCGAATGTTTTCGGCCGGCCCATTTAGGGTAGTACATGTGCAGAAACCGGTTTTGAACTTTTTCGAAGGTTCCGGTTTGATTTCCAGTTTCTTTTCTCTGTTTTTTCTTTAGTAAGCTTCTTATTTTATTTTTTAAAATTTCAAAATTGTTTGGAAATTTCAAAATTGGTCCATATTTTTGAAAATAATTGCATTTACAAAAAAATGTAAAGTATGCCAAAAACTGTTCACATTTTAAGGAAATGGTCATAAACTTTCAAAATATTTAGTTTTTTCGAAAAAATCCAATTATTCGAAAAATATTTCGCTATTTTGAACAGGTATTCGTGTATTAAAACAAATTCAGAGTTTCAATAAGAATATTCAAAAATTTCAAAAATTGCTTTGAAAAAATGTTAATTTTTTTAAAAAAATGTTTTTCATTCTTTCCCTGAAAACCGTATGAAAAAATACTAAAAAACACAGCCACAGTAACCCGCTCACTACCGAACTCCGGTAGCTACAGATGCTATATGGGTGGTGAGTCCGGCCAGTCAGAGGGCCCCTGTGCGTCCGGCCGCCTATTTGACGTGATTGGCTTTTGGAACCTCGCACCAGGAGTGTTGGTTTCAAAAACCAAAAGAAAAGAAAACAGTGTTAATAATTTATTTGTCCAGTGCAGGCAATTCTAACGGGTTGCTGTTGATGCCACAACTCGTCGAGTGAGGAATCTTGGAGATTTTATTGAAAATTTTGAAAACCATACTGCAAAGTTTCAAAAATTCTGCAACAGACTATATGTTCATATGGATGTATTAGTTCTACAAGCGTATACAACTTTACGATGAAATAGGGTGATACATGAAAGATAAATCCATGGATTTTTAATAGTGAACAGCAGGTGCGTACTGGTCACCGTTTTTAAAATCATGAATTTGTCTTTTTTGTATAGTTCTCAAGTTCATGTATATCATCATACAACTTTCGATAAATATAGTACACATTCATATGAAAATGTCTATATTTTTCATAACTTGTCGAAACATTGAGTGTGATGTATTATTGTTATTATTATTTTCAAAAAGGAGATGTATGGAGCAGCTCTAAAATGGTTTTATGCAACTTGCCACCTTTCTTTTTCCGCTTCCTTTTGCATCTCTGTGATCCGTATTTCCATTATGTGAACAATGGGAAGGTATTCGCTTGGTTGAAGAAAAAACAGAAAAAGAAGTTTCAAATAGTTTGTCATGGATCATGTATTTTTGACCAAATTGATGTTCAAAGTTTTTGTTTGCGAAAATGACTTGAATCAATTATAAATGTTCACGAGAAGTACAAAAGCATCACAAAAATAATAAAAATTATATCAAGACACCTAAACCACCGAATGACCACTACAACCCCCAAAGTACTAGGAGTCCAGGAAGCCACGTAAACAGAGATGAGTGTTTTCTTTTTTAGAATGGAGCCTGACTTTGAAAAGCCATCAACCGGTCAGGAGTACAAGAGCAGACCAACAATAAATTAACAGCTAAAAGATACAAAGGAGAAAAAGGAGCAGCTTACTACGCTACACCTACAACCAGCGAACAAAAAAATACATTGAAGAGCAGCTAATTGAGGATAAGCCCACTACACAAATGTCCTGAAACGACTACGGAAGAAGCCACGAGGATCTGCAACCGCCAGAAGTGGTCGGGCACATGACTGAAATCCAGAGCTGGAGATGACACAACACATGCCTTCTCTAACACCGAAGGGGGTCCCTTCCCCTTGCCTAGGCTCGAAGGCGCCGCACCGTCGAAGTGTAGAGACGCTCACCTAAGAGCTAAACATAGGTTGGACTCGAGTCCGGGCCAGCAATGGATCACAACCAACATCACACCGGAGCACACACACACCAGCTGCACCGCAGGCGCCCAGGGACACCGATGGAAGAGGGAAAGCTGCTGGGAGCGTCGCCGAAAGGAAGAAGCTGCCGAGCCACATGGCGAAGATTAGGACCAAGGAACACATGAACCAGCCGAATCGGCACCTATGGCGCTGCTGCTGCCGGGAAGGGGAACCCGATCCCCTTCCGCCCAGGCTCGAGGGCACCGAACCGCCGGGACACTGCAACACCACCGCATAGCAACTTGTGGCTGGGTCGCCACAGGCTCCACAAACACCAGGCGCCCCCTGCAACTGCCACACACCCCCAAAGCACCAAAACTTTCCCAGACGGCGCCTTCAAGGATGACACGACGCACCAGGTGCCGCCGCCGCCCATCCCAAGCCGGGATTCGAGCTTTCGCATGGGAAGCATGGCCGGGGTGTGGAGGAGAGCCCACGGCTGCGACTCCAACAAGCAGAATGACGCAAAAGGGCGCTGTTGCGACCGCGTTGGGAATACCAACAGGGGTTTCCACTGGGCTCGTCCAGCACTACCAGCTCAGGGAGCACCCCGCGGAGGGAGAGCAGAGAGAGGGAGGGAAAACCTGTTCTTCAGATCTGGAGCAGAGGAGGGGGAACCCCACCTCGCCGCGACCACTGCCCGCCAGGGCCTCGCTGCCCGAGCAGCCGAGGGTGCCGGCCCGCATCTCCCGCGCGCGCCGCTAGCCGAAGACGGTGCCGCCTCACCGACCGGGCTGCCGCCTAAGCTCCGGGGTCCTTTGCCAGCGAGCGAAGCAACGAAAGCCCCGTCATCACCGTCATCGGCAATTCGACAGTCGCCCACCCCGATGACTCCCTCCGATGACGACAGGGGAGGAGTGGAGGGGGCGGCGCCTAGGGAAACCCTATGCCTATGGGCTCTCGGGTCGCCCTGGGGAGGACGACGCGAGGGGAGGGAGTGCTTTCTCTCCCAAAACCTGAATGTTTTCGGGATAAGTGTATAGTACAAATCTTTTGTCAATCTCGTTTGTGAAGTGAAATTACGATGACACTGAAATTTGTGGCAAGCATCAAAGCTTTCGTAATTATAATTCAATACTATGAATCATAAAATGCAAAACGTTGGTGTGTGCCAAATATATTGCAGTAATCCTTTTACACTGAGATGAGATCACTGCACGGCAGGAGACTTAATTAAGCTCCAATTATTGATTATATAATCTAAACGAATAATCTAAATCTCTTAATTAATCTTGTGTGTGTATACTGTATGACAATGTGAAACTAAATTGCTGGCGTGTGGATGTTGAGCAGGGAGACCCTGGTGCGCACGAGGCTGCGGAACACCTTCTCGCTCTCGCTCTCCAGCTCGCCCACGCACTCCTCCAGCTCCAGCAGCCTCGCCGCCGCGTCCCTGTGCGTGTCCTCGCCGGCGGCGGCAGGCTTCTTGCCGCTCACAAGCGCAAGCCTCGGCTTGGGCGAGGTGGCAGAGGAGGACGCCAGCGCCGTGGCCGCAGCGGCGTCGGCCAGGGCGGCGACCTGGAGGAATACGGACGCGGACGCGGCCGCCGTGTCGCCCACGGCCTTGGCCACGGTGCGCGCCACGTCGAGACAGGACGAGGCGGAGGAGGAAGAGGTGTGGACTGGCACGGGCACACACTTGGCGACTGCGGCGGCTAGGCCAGCGAGGTCCTTGGAGGCGCGGCGCTGCGCGCGGGCCGCGGAGGCGAGCTTGGCGGGGTCGCGGCGGCGCACGGCGGCGCGGAGCTCGGCAGCATGGCCGCGGAGCGCGAGCAGGGCGGCCAGGAAGCAGCCGTAGGCGTCGGCGAGGGCGAGGAAGCCGTCAAGCAAGGCGTCGGCCGGCGCGAGGGCCAGCGGCAGGTACGAGTGCTCCAGCAGCTCGTCGAGCACGCAGAGGAGCGCGCGGACGTGGGCGAGCGCCAGCGGGTTCTGGCCCGGGTCGGAGGTCCAGGACCGGAGCGCGCGCAGCTGGTCGTCGACGTGGGTCAGCAGCGGGTTCCTCTGGGTCGGCACGCTCGCCGACCGCACGTGCCCGCCCGCCCTGCCGCCGTTGCCGGCGCTCTTCATCATCATCGCCGGCGCCATTGTCGATGGATCGTCTAGCTAGCTAGCTTTCGTCTTGTGATGTTGGAATGGCACTGGCAGAGAGGTCGATCGATGAGTGGGAAAGTGTGCTCGTGCGGGGTATATATAGGCCGCCGGCCATGGTACGGTCGGCGTCCGGAGTAGATGAGGTGTCGTGCTCGTGGCGACTGTGGGGGACGCCATGCACACGGAAGCTTCGGTGAAGACGAAGTGGACGTACGGCCACATGCAGTACACGGTGTACATACGCGTGCGCGCGCAGGCATATGCATGCATGCAGGGGCACACGATCGGCCTCCACGTGCAGATGCAGCCAGCCTGCAGCCCGCGTTGCAGCGAAGGAACGGGGTGGTCTGCTCCGCGCATGCATGGGGTACCCCGGGGGCCGTCCGATCTTGCGCCAACGGCATGGAGGCCGTCCGATCTTGCGCCAACGGCATGGAGGCCGTCGCACGATCCAGATCTCCCCGAGCTGAGAATCTGAGCTGAGATCGAGAGGGCCGACGACTTTGGTGAAGACGACAACGTCGGAGATGCTTGCTATGCTGGCGGGCACCATGCCAGCTACGGATGTCGCGGCGCTGCCGGTGAGCGGTCCGCCGGGCGACGACGACGCTTACAATAATCGGCACGGGCGAATCTCTCCGATCACAAATCGGGCGACGATGGGTACATTTGCGTGCCTGGGGAAGCTTACAGGCCATGGACATGGAGGTAGCTGACCTACTCGTTGTGTCTTGCTTGTCCGATCCACACTTGAACAGCCTGTCTCCTCTAGGTCAGATCATGGCTACATCGCTCGACCTTCTGGCCTCGCAATGTCCACGGCGACGGAACATGACAGGTCCTCAAGCTCGCCATGCGTGTGCGATTGCAAATCTCGTGGCCGTGACAACCCAACCGATCCATTGATGCACATTCATCGTACATGCCTGGCGCTTTATCCAGTTGCCATTGATCAACTGGATCAAACTAAGCAACTGGATCCAATGATCCACTTGAACACTTGAGAGCCTCGATCATTGGATCACTTGCACAAAATTAAATAGAGCAACTACCTAGCTAGCAAGAACAGAGCTTAGATGTAGTATTGGTTGTGCTGTTTAGATTAACTGCTATTGTCGAGATTGTCAGATTGACAGTGTTGATTAGCTGTAAGACCCTTATCAAGCGCCGCAAAACCATGTACGACAGTCAATATAACGATTGAACAAGTCTTCTTCACTCGTCTTGGAGAAATTCTCTTATAAGTTGATAATTAATGTAGGTTGCCCAGGGTGAAAATAACTGACCTGGTCCTCACTGGCCGAATCCGTCGCGCACAATGCAAAGCCGTATGCCTTGATGGAGGTATCACCTGAATCTACAACTAATCACTAGGAGAGGATTGACAGAAATTGTTCAATACAATGGCCATGACACATACATCACCATCTCACCAAGAGATGTACACGCTAATAACACTGTCAAAGCTAGTCAAACAGTGATGAATGGTATGCACGCCATCCTGAATTTACAGTACCAAAAATCAAATATATTTGTGTTACCTCATCGAGCAAAACTACCGACATACGCAAAACCAATTTTCTTTCCACTCTCATGTTTACATGTAGAGTTAATATTTGTGTGCAATGGTAAGTACATATCTTTGTGAACTTGTGTGATAGCTCAACTGGCATAGAGATAATTTGATCTAGTTTATCAGTGTCAGAAAACCTCCTACACCAGGCCGGGTACCCTAGGTAGACCGTAGATCAAACTAGCAAAGACTGCAGACTGTTAGACTTTGACTCCATAATTTGGATCAAGTTAACTAGCAACTAGAAAGGCTAGACCTTAGACTTGCTGTTTAGATTCCAAGTGTCGTGGTTGACCACAGTGCCGATTAACTGTAAGAACGGCCAGGTCCATACTCAATAGACTGATCTAGATTAGTTATTGTGAATATTGACCTAGTTCAACTTGTCTGCACAATGTTCATCACAGGTTACATTATGATCAGTATCATTTTTGGCATGAATTGTACATATTAGTGCTATTGTCCAAACCCAACATTTCCCGCTCTGCACAAAATTAATTTGTTCTCTGTTTATAACTAGATCGAATATATTTATGTGCAATCTTTCTGGCTGTGACAACTCAACCAGTACATATTCTGAATTTCCGACACAATTGTGATTTGTTAACGACACAATTAATACAGTTTATTAATTAGTGTCAGCAAGCTGTGTTTCAGTCATGTTTGTACATGTTTGCGCCCAGATCGGGGAAGGCTAGGTAGACTCTAGATCAACATAGCATGATTAGAGCTTCTAGACCGACTTTCTTTGGTGTTAAGATTCCTAGTGTCCCATCTGAATTTGTTGATTAGCTGTGATTCTAAAGTCAATTAAGGGAAACAGGTCCACCACACCGCGGTTAAAAACATATTGTGTTTATATCAAATTACCCTTCTTGGACTGATTAGTCTGTTTGCTTTGAGGGTGTGAATGTGTGATCAAGTTGACCAAAAGAACAGAGTTGTGAGTAAATTAGGATTAATTAGGACTTTCTCTCATAATTGTACAAGTGAAATAGATAAATAAACATATGCATATTGCCCGCAAAATAAAATAAAATAAGTGTATGCATATTTATTGAAGTATAACTAACCTTGTAAGAGGTTTATACAATCATGCATAATGTGTGCTTTATGTTGTATTTATCCATTTTATTCATATCTTACAGTTTATGAACGTTTACTTTTTTCCAGATTCTCACAAAAAGTGTAATGGTGCTAATCTCTGTATATTTGTAAACAAAAAATTATGCATGCATATGAGCTCGTTATGGTTGTGGTAATAATCTCTATTTTTCTTGCCACTTAACTGAGCTTAAACTATTCATCTTCTTTACTGGGGCTTGTGATTTATTTATGTTTTTATGGATAATGGTGGATTTAATCAGAATAGCAAAATTGTCTCAATATGATTGGATTGATCTCACAAAATTTTATTTCTTTGGAATTGAATTTGACTACAAAGATGTAAAACTTTACATGTTTGTAGTGAAAGATAACTCATATGGCACTGACATCTTCGTTAATAAAGTAATTACCCACAGATAGGTAGGTAACCGTTAATTATTAGTAGTTTGATAATTACCCCTTCCACATCAAAAACTATATTTAAATCAAACTTTGAACAAATTTTGGACACAATAAATTCATTGGAGTAATTTAACCTAGTAATGACTACACAAACTAAGGAATCATTCTAATGAATCATAAACAATACACAACACATGCTATGATTTATTGGTTATAAAATAATTATAATAATAGAAAATTAAGTAAAAGAAGAGGGAAAGTTTATAAATCAAGTACACTAGTTTCCCCATAATAAACTTATTATTATGTTTCCTATATAAGTTGAGTGGTGCCTTAGATATACATATGTGTATTCAAACTATTCATATAAAAGGAAGGTTTATTGTTTCAGTGGCCTTCGCTGGGCTTGAGTTTCATCATGAGAGAATAATAAATACTATTATGTTCTCTTATGTATTATTTTCACTAACTTTAGTTTACTAAATTTATCAATAATATCTCAATAGAAGATTCAAGAGTGACTGGATGACCGCCCTTAGTAACACAAACTAACTTAGTATGCAATGGTATGAACTGGTAATAATTTCAAATGGTGGTCCCAGGTAAACTTTTAGATGGCATGAATTATCATGTAGAAAGACATGCAAATAGGTTAGTGTTACAATTAATTTAGTAAATTGAGTCAGCGATATTTAGATATATAGTAATTACATTTTTTGGGTAGAAATACCGACTACAACGCAGATGCTCACACACGCACACCATTTCCACCCCGAGCCTCCCCCCACACACATCATGTCCTAAAGAGTAAACTCGCTGAGCATCAAAATTGGCAAGGTCCTCATGGTCACCATATGTGACGAAAATTTTGCCTTGTATTGAAAGGAAGGCCCGTGTTCTCAAGACGAAGACATGTCATCGAATCTGGAGTTTAATCTCTGGTGGCCCGAGCGTACAACAACCCTCGAACCAATTGCTAACTTAATATAGTTGGCATCAACACATTTTGTGGAACCTGAAGAAACTTTCGAAGAAAACATTTTGTTGTCATTAGTAATGTTTAGATGGCTAGAGTACTTGAATGTTCATCACATAGACAAGGTTGCTTCGTTAATTAGCCACGGACAAATTTACAAATGTGTCCGACTCAGAGGGGAGCGCCTCTTTAGCACTGAATGAACCAGGTTGCGCAACGACGCAGAGGGTGACTCCCGCATGGGCCCAACCCTGTAAATTGGTCATTCGACTCCTGTTCGCTCGGTGCACGCTCGCTCGCTGCCACTTGATTTGTGTTTTTATTTCTTTCGTCCGCCACTATTAGAAAAAACAACAAACCGTTTTTTCTATTAATTTTTAGAAAAACTTGGTGAAATCATAGAATGCGCACAGATTTTTTTTTTCAAATTTGAGAAAATATTCACGGATTAAAAATGTTCATGAATTAGAAAATAATTTTATGGATATGAATTTTTTTTGTAGAACTGAAAAGACATGTTCACAGGTTTAAAACATGTCCATGGATTTGTCTAAAATGTTCTTGAAATTTGAAAATTTGTGGAAAATTTGGAAAAAGTTCACAACTTTCAAAAAAAGAGAATGTATGTTTAAAAATTTATGAAATTTAAGAATATTCGCAAATTTGAAAAAAAGTTCAGGGATTTCATAAAATGTTCACAAATTTCAAACCAAATCACAAATTTGAAAACAGTATTAACTATTCTTATTTGATAATTTAGATAAAAAGAAAAAGAAAAAGAAAAAATGATGAACTAGAATAAAAACAGGAAAATAAAAAAACAGGCAAATGAACATTCTGCAATATTCCCAAAACCAAAAATAACCACCCGGTGTCTTTCCGTTACATGGGCCGGCCAGAAGCGGCATATGCGCGAAATAGGAAAGTACTGACTCT